ACTATTTCCTGACTCATGGCTATTATACTGCTGAGCTTTTAATCTTGATATGGAGAAATAATTATAGCTTAAAGGAGTAGCAGATAGGAGAAGACCATGCCCTAGCTGCAGGTGCAGCTCAGTCAGTGATGTGAGTGCCTGCCTGCTCTTCCCACAAGCATGAGGCCCTGAGTTCAAACTCCTAATACCCCAAGACCAGGCCCAAGGCAGAGAGGAAGAGCTCATAATGTCCACTTCTATAAGCATGCTTCCTCTAAGGGACCACTCCTTCCTAAAACATGCTGTAGGAATGCCCAGTGATCCCTCTACTCCTTCCCCCAAGAACCTTCATTCCCCATCCATTGTGTTTCTATGACTTATATCCGTTTCCCTTATCCATTAGATCCGTTCTGGCTACTTCGATGAGAGGTATGTATTGTCCTCGAGAGTCAGAACTGGGCGGAGTATCCGAGGACTCAGTCTGCCTCCAGCCTGCACTCGGGCAGAGCGACGAGAGGTGGAACGTGTGGTGGTGGAGGCTCTGAGCGGCCTGAAGGGTGACCTGGCCGGACGTTACTATAGGCTCAGTGAGATGACAGAGGCTGAACAGCAGCAGCTTATTGATGTGAGGGGGCTTTTGAGAGAGAGCACTGGGCAATGGGAACAAGGGGAAAAATAAACCAGAGGGGCGGTTGGGACAGACCAGGGAGATGGGCTCTGAGAGGCCCAGGGACTACTGTGAGAATTTCTAACCCAGGTCCCTTGCCTTTCCCCAGGACCACTTTCTATTTGATAAGCCTGTGTCCCCATTGCTCACTGCAGCAGGAATGGCTCGAGACTGGCCAGATGCTCGTGGAATCTGGTATGAGGCAGTTCCTTTGCCTCCTTCCCCCCCCCCCCCCCGCCCCCCGACCCAGGCCCCACCGCCATGCCCACAAAAGTGCTTTTTTTTTACCCTCTCTCCCTTCTAATTTGTCTTATGTCTTGATCCCTTTATCTCCTACCTCCAGGCACAACAATGAGAAGAGCTTCTTGATCTGGGTGAATGAGGAGGATCATACCCGGGTCATCTCTATGGAGAAAGGTGGCAACATGAAGAAAGTGTTTGAAAGATTCTGCCGGGGCCTGAAAGAGGTTGGAGAAGAAGGGTGGGAGAAGGCGGCAGCTGGGTGGGAGGAAATAAGGAAAACCAAAGAGTAGCATACGTACATTGACATATGTCATTTCTCCACCAGCCCAGGACATTTCTGACACAGTTTAAAAAAAAAAAAAAGTCACCATGAATCACTCCAAAATAATAAGTATACACCAGGGCTTTTCTGAGGAAACCAAGTCCTATGTTCACCCTAAAAATAGAGAGAAAGATTGTCAGTAACCTTAAGAAAGTAAATGAAACAGTTGCCAGGTAATGAAAAAGAAAATAATAGCAAGTCAGTGCTAGAGGTGTGTGGTGTGGTATGTGAAGTAAGGAAAAATGTTTGAGCCTAGTTTAATGAATGGGGTGAGAGACAGCTATGTTTGTGATATTAAAATATTCCCATAACTCTAAGCCAAAGTAGGCCTTGGCTGTGGATTCTATCATTCTTGCTAAAATATCTTATCTAGGAATTAAGCTAGAGTGTGAGAGACTGAGAAGATGGCTCAAGTTCCAGAATGTAGATGAGGAGTGAGTTCTCAGGCCTATGTAGATGACATGTCTTCATTCCACAGTAGACACTGCCATGAAGCCCAAGTCTTATTAAATGTTCTCAGATATTCAGTTTTATTCTGCATTTGAAAAAAAAAGACCTCCCTTTTTAGATTCTGAGTTTATAGTATTTGGGGCAAGTAGGAAAGTGGATCAGGCGCTGGTGGCTCACGCCTGTAATCCTAGCTACTCAGGAGGCTGAAATTTGAGGATCATAGTTCAAAGGCAGCCCAGGCAGGAAAGTCTGTGAGACTCTTATCTTCAGTAAGCCACCAGAAGACCACAAGTGGCACTATGGCTCAAGTGGTAGAGCACTAGCCTTGAGCTGAAGAGCTGAGGGACAGTGCCCAAGCCCAGAGTTCAAGCCTCACAACCGACAAAAAAATAAACAAAAAAGAGAATACTGAAGTAACTCTATATAACTCAGTTTTCTAATCAGTGAAATTGAGATAATGAGATTTGCCTGCATTTTAGGTTTTAATATGGATTAAATAATGCAGGTAAATTAATTGATCCATAGTATGTGCTCAGTAAGTCCTAGCTATGAGTTCCCTTCCCTACTTTACCCATACCATCAGCTTAGGTTTTACGCTGGTTATTTTGGAGATGGAGCCTAGTGCATATTAGGTTTTGGCTGGCCTCAATAGTGATACTGTAGATCCCAGCTTCCCGGATAGCTAGAATTACAGGTGTACACCACTGGTTCCCAGCCAGTGTTATTTTTTTTTTTTTTTGAAAGTCCTGGGACTTGAACTCTGGGTCTAGGCATGGTCCCTGAGCTCTTCTGCACAAGGCTAGCACTCTACCACTTGAGCCACAGCGTTGCTTCTGACTTTTCTTGTGATTAATTGGAGATAAGAATCTCACCAGCTTTCCTGTCTGGGCTGGTTTTGAACCTCGATCCTCAGATCTCAGCCTCCTGAGTAGCTTGGATTACAGGCATGAGCTACCAGGGCCGAGCTTGTGTTTTTTTTTTTTGGGGGGGGGTCTGGTCATGGGCCCTGAACTCTGGGCCTGGGCGCTGTCCCTCAGCTCTTCAGCTCAAGGCTAGTTAGTGCTCTACGACTTGAGCCACAGTGCCTCTTATGGCTTTTTTTTCCTTCTTGCTTATGTGGTGCTGAGGAATTGAACCCAGGGCCTCATGCATACAAGGCAAGCACTTTACCACTGAGCCACCTTCCCAGCCCCTTTTGTTATCATTTTTGATGGAAGGGCTTTCTCCCACTCATCACTTAAGAATCTCTCATGTCATGATTCTTTCTCAAGCATAAACAGGGTCCTCTTTGCTTATTTAGTGGTCTTCATGTTGATTGCTCGGGCAGATCCTGTCTCTTCAGTTCTAGTAATTATGATTAGGATGATGAAGTAAATAAAGCAAGACCATCCTATCCATGCTTTCTCTTGCTCTTTACATGTTCCTATGTCTCTTATTTTTTGACTGGGGTCTGAGACTAGGACTTGAATTCAGTACCTGACACTTTTGCTCATTTGCTATCACTCTGCCAACTGAGCCATGCCTCCAAACCCCTTATCTCTATGAATCTGGCTCTTCTGCTCTATTTTCTCTGCTTTCTTATGTGTTTCTGCCATGGCTAACAGAAGGCTCTCTTGCCTCTTCCTGTTACAAAGCTTACATCTTTGTTTCTGTCTGCAAGTACCCTCTGCTCACTAGCAGAGAAAATTGATGCATGAAAAACCGATGGAATAATCAGTGCTTTCTCAGTTCAGTTTGCACCTCTGTTCATCTCCCTAGATCATTCTAATGCATCACTCCTTCAAGTTTCTTTCCTTCTACACACAAGATAATTTTCCACAATCTCAGCTGGATGCTTGAGGATCTTGCCCATAATCCTAACTACTCAGGAGTCTGAGATCTGGAGAATTTTGATTCAGAGCCAGCCCAGGCAGAAATACTCATGAGACACCCCCTACCAACTCCAAAATAACTAGCAAAAAGCCAGGATGGAGGTGTGATTCAAGTGCTAGATCACCAGCTAAGTGAGCACAAGGCCCTGAGTTTAAACCCTAGTATGCAAAAAAAAAAAAAAAAGGGATTTTCTGTAATCTTATAACTGTGCACATAAGTGCATCATAATTTGGCAACATCAAAGTTACCTTACGTACATGATAATAAAAATTATCTATTTTTTACAGAAAAAAGCCAAGTTTCCAGTACTAGCAGTATTTCTAGAGTTCCTCTGGGTTAGCTAAGGGAGGGGCCATAGTCGTGCTTTTTCACTAACAGAACCTTTGTGGACCAGGTGGAGCGGCTGATCCAAGAACGTGGCTGGGAGTTCATGTGGAATGAGCGATTGGGATACATCTTGACCTGTCCATCTAACCTGGGCACTGGACTTCGGGCAGGAGTGCACATCAAACTGCCGCTGCTAAGCAAAGTAAAGGACCTGGGGTTAGAGAGGACTGTGTGTGAGTTAGGAGGTTTGTAGCTGCAGGGGGGGGGGGGGGGTGAGTAATTACTTTGAGAGGAGCCAGACATAATTGTGACTAAAGGGGCAAAAGCTCTGGGCAGGTAGGAAGGAAAAGTCTCTGCCTCTAATTACCCTGCCTCTGATCCCTACCTCCCCTCTAGGATAGCCGCTTTCCTAAGATCCTGGAGAATCTGAGACTCCAAAAACGTGGCACTGGAGGGGTGGACACTGCTGCCACAGGCAGTGTCTTTGACATCTCTAATTTGGATCGACTTGGCAAGTCAGAGGTGAGATCCTAAGGGCTTAAGCTGAGGAAAAGTACAGGTTTGTGGGGGTTGCAGTGGTATAGTGAGCGAGCCTCAGGAATGTAATAGATTCTGAAAGGAAAATCAGGGTGAACAGGGAGGCAACTGGAAGTGTGCAGACACCAAGGATTAGTATCCTTTAGGTGGAGCTGGTACAACTGGTCATCGATGGAGTAAACTATTTGATTGACTGTGAACGGCGTCTGGAAAGAGGCCAAGATATTCGCATCCCTCCACCTCTTGTCCACAGCAAACATTAGCTGCACAACCAACACCAATTCCTCATCCCCAGAAGATGACTCAAGATCCTCAGGACTTCTGCTCATTTAATAGTGGCCCCATTCTACTTGCCCTGAGCCTATCCCTTCTTCCTTCACTCCCCCACCTCCATCCTAGTAAAGACTCTATGCTATGTTCCTGTGTTCCTGTGTTATTTCTGTTGGTGAGAAGAGGAGGGAGAAGTCTCCAGGAAATGAAATGCGGTCGGGTTATTTATGTTGGAAAGAGATTCCAGATATGACATGCCAGGAACATTGATTCTCAGGTGGGTGGAAAACATTAGCATTTTATCCATAATGCTCATCAACTTTCTGAGAATAATTAGGATGCATTTGCATTTGTATTTATTCATGATAAGGGTCCCCTTCCCCACACCAATCGCCCTGAATTGAAGAGACAGGATCAAAGATGGTGGCCAACAAAGCTGATGGTCAATGCCAGTGCCCAGGAAGTTTGTGACCAGTCCTGGAGGCCACAGGCCGAGCTTCGACCTAAAATAAGAAAAAAGAATGGGAAGAGCATCAAAATTCTCCCCAGGAGCCATCAATATTTGGAAAGTAGTTTTCTGCCTCTAGACCCCTTCAACTCCAGGGGTCTCCCTGGGTAGGATTTAAGGGTTGTCCAGCACCGATGTCAGGATTAGATTCTGAATCAAGATAGAAAATCAAGGTGCACAGTTGGGAACTCACCCAGCTGTTCTAGGTTCTCCTTCCCCTCATGCTGGGCCCATGCAACTGCTTGTCGTTGCTCAGGACTCAGAAAGGCCATTTGCTCAGGAGTGACAGCCACAGCCTGAACACTGGTGAGACTAGATAGCTGGGTGGGGTTGAACACAACCTGGGGGTGGAGACAAGACTTGGAGTATCCACGTAGCCTCCGTTGGGCCCTGGCTCTTCTATAACTCCATCAAAACTTACAGCAAACTTAGGAGCAGGGATGACAGAAATGGCAAGAGGGGTCAAGCCCTGGATCTGTCCCTGCAGTAGTGCTGAAAGAGCCAGGTCTGGAATGCCAGCTGTTTGAAGGAAGCAAGATGTAACTCAATGTCATAGACTGTTCTTCAAACCTATAGTGCTGGGATACAGCTCAATGCCAAGAGCATTTGCCTAACCTGTTCAAGACCCTGGGTTTAATCCCCAGCACTGCAAGGAAACAGCCCTATAGATCTTCTCCTTCAACTACTCCCAAAGTATACTACAACAAGCTTCCCCTAATATGTCTCTAGCCAACACTTTCTCTGAGCTCTACCTTCAGAAGTTCAAGACAATCCTCCATCCAATCCACTCATGGTATGGAAACCAAACCCCATCAATTCTCTCCAGCAGTGGTCCCCACACCCACCATGCCCTCACCTGCTATCGTGCCAATTTCAGTGAAAATCTCAGGCCCCCAGTTACTGACTGGGCCAAAGCCACCCGGCATCACAAGGAGGTGGGCCAGAACCTCCAACTGTTCCTCCGAGCAGGGAAGATCCAAGTGTCCCAGGAATAGAGCTGCTTGGCTGTGGAGGAAGTAGGAAAGAAGAGACATTCAGCTTCAGTGATAAGAGACCACGGTCATGAGACAGGGAAGAGATGGCTTCAGAGTGAGCTTCCTTCTTCCACAGAACTATCCCTTTATGAGCTCCCCTTCATTTCAGCGCTCCCACCACCCACAATCACTCCACAGGTGACCTAAACTCCCAACTGTTGATATGCTGTAGCTCCTCTGGCCGCAGTCCACAAAGCGTGTAACCCAGTGCTGTCAGGTGAATGAAATCCAAGTGGCTCACATGCTGACCACTCTGCCTGAGGAAACTGGAGACCACAACCCGGAGCTGAGGTGGAGATGGACAGGGAGGAAGCACAGAATAAGGAGACATACCATGGGCGAGGAATGGATGGGGAAGTGAATTAGGATAGTAATTATTATTAAGCCATGGAGAAGGTCTAGAGCATCCCCCTCAAAAGGAGGATAGAAAAATAGGACAAAAAAGAAGCAAGAGAGAATATTATGTGTCTAGGGCTTCAGTCCAAATAAATCAAAGTCCTTGAAGTCTTAGTATGGATTGTTAAAGAAAAAATAGGAATAATGGCCAGGGAGGTGACAGGGTTACAGGAAAAAAAAAAATTTCCTTGGGCTTTGGGTAATTTGGAGGACTGGGTCTTGGGATGGGTGTTTGGAGAGTGACAATGAGAGAAGGTGTTACCTGGACAGAGCTCCAGCCATCTATCTGTCCCAGGGTGCTTAGTACTCCCCAATCTACCAGGATGAGCTCCCGCAGCTCCTGCTCTCCCAGGCCTATTAAGAGCCGGCCCAGCTGCAGAATCTGCTCAGGACGAAATCCACGAGGAGGACCCCACAACTAGAAGGAAGAGAAAAACAATGAGATAGAAAAAGCACTGGACAAGAAATCAGAACGCTGGCTGGGAATGTGGCTTAGTGGTAGAGTGCTTGCCTAGCATGCATGAAGCCCTGGGTCTGATTCTTCAGTATCACATAAAGAGAAAAAGCTGGAAGTAGCACTGTGGCTTAAGTGGGAGGGTGCTAGCTTTGAGCAAAAGAAGCTCAGGGACAGTGCCCAGGCTCTGAGTTTAAGCCCCCAGGACTGGCAAAGGAGGAGGAGGAGGAAGAAATCAGGATGCTGCATCTTAGACTTGCTGACTAATGGTGGCACTTTGGACATCACTTGCCTCTTCCTTAGTTTTCTCAATAGTAACATGAGAAGATTCTTCTCACTTAGGGGTTATTGAAAGACCCTAGAATTTCAGTGGACAATAAAGGCAAACTGTAGTCCATGAGTTCTAAACTTTTATGTACACCAGACTCAGTGAGGTGTCTATTAAAATATAGATAGGTGCCTAGATCCAACCCAGACCCTAGAGATTCTTCAGTCAACATGGCATGGTACCTCAAAAATAGCATTTGAAAATCTTCCCCCAAGATATATGTTTATTTATTTATTTTTGTCAGTCATAGGGTTTGAATTTGGGGTCTGGGCATTATCCCTGAGCTATTTCTTGCTCAAGGCTCTATCAGTTTGAGCCACAGAGCCACTTTCAGTTTAATTGGAGATAAGAGTCTTGCAGACTTTCCTGCCTGTGCTAGCTTTGAACCATGATCCTCAGATCTCAGCCTCCTGAGTAGCTAAGATTACAGGTGTGGGCCAGCAGTGCCCAGCTTCCTCAAGATGATTTTCATATACAATAAAATTTGGAAAGCACTGTTCTAGTCCTTCTATATATTGAAGTCGCTGTTTTTCCTCAATATTGATCCCCTTGAATGCCTTATTTGTTGATACAAACCCTCTAGTTATTATTATCTCCTGTTTCCCTGCCTCCCTTCTCTACCCCCTCCAATGCTCATATTCTTATATCCTACACCACACCCAACCAACATCTTCAGGTTTTTCCTCCTCCACCCTCTATTAGCTCTCTATCCCTGACCTGCTTTGCCTTGCCCATGGCTGCCCGTAATTGTTCGGGCCCAAGTCCTGGATCTCCTGCAAATAGTGTCAAGCAGTCCTCAAAGTCTGAGAGTTCCATTTCCAAAATCTGCATTGCAGACCAGGCTGCTGGGAAGGTTCCTCGTATGTCTGCACAATTTGGTATTGGCTCTGAAAGGGAAAGGCAGGGTCCACAGTCAGTGAAGTACTAGGATATGCCTAGAGAGTTAACTATAGAGGGAATGACTTTTCATACCTTTGGAAGACAGGGCAGTGTGGGTCACGGGATGATTACAGGGTAAGATTTATAGGTCTGAGAGAGCATTAGAACACACAGTACCTGGATAGAACAAGATTCTTGTTTCATAGATGGGAGATTAAGGAAGCTCCACATTTAGCCTCACTCTTAGGCTTAGTCTTAGGCTTAAAAAATATATTTTTCGGGGCTGGGAATGTGGCTTAGTGGTAGAGTGCTTGCCTAGCATGCATGAAGCCTTGGGTTCAATTCCTCAGCACCACATACACAGAAAAAGCTAGAAGTGGCGCTGTGGCTCAATTGGTAGAGCGCTAGCCTTGAGCACAGAGAGGCTCAAGGACAGTGCCCAGGTCCTGAGTTTAAGATCCAGGACTGGCAAAAAAAAATTTTTTTTTCCTAGTACAGGGGTTTGAACTCAGGACCTCACACTTGCTCAGCTGACACTCTACCATCTGATCAACATCTCTAGCCTGGCATATTGCTGGTAATTTTGAAGCTGGAGTCTTGTGGACTTTTCTACCTGGGCTGTAATTGAACCATCATCCTCCAGATCTCAGCCAGGACTACAAGTGTGAGCTACTAGTGCCTGGCTCTGAGCTAAAGATTTAAAAATTTTTTTTTTTTATTATCGTTAGAAAGGTGATTTACAGAGGGGTCACAGTACATAAGTCAGGTAAAGAGTACTTTTCTTTTTTTTTTTTTTTTTTGGGGGGGGGGGTCCGGTCGTGGGGCCTGAACTCTGGGCCTGGGCGCTGTCCCTCAGCTCTTCAGGTCAAGGCTAGCGCTCTACCACTTGAGCCACAGCACCACTTCCAGCTTTTTTCTGAGGTGCTGAGGAATCAAACCCAGGGCCTCATGCATGCAAGGCAAGCGCTCTACCACTGAGCCACCTTCCCAGCCCCAAGAGTACATTTCTTTTAGGATAATGTTACCCCTTCCCTCACTCTGGTCAATTTTTTCCTCCCATCTCCACCCCCAAGTTGTATAGTTGATGGGCTAAAGATTTAATGGGTAATAAACTCCCAGAATTATAGATTGCTAGTACTAGAAGAGACAAAGATCATCCTGTATCCCTGCTGCTTTACAGATTGCCAAAGCCCAGAGGAAAGAAGGTTTGTGAATCTGCTCAAGAGACACAGCATACCTAGAGCCCAGACATTTTCTATTTTCTGTTTGTGATGCTGGGATGGATATCAGGTACGCATGTTAGGTGAGCACCCCTACCACTGCCCTAGAATCCAGGCTTCTGATTGTGTTATTTGCATAGTTATGATACCCTCTCTCCTGCACATTCTCCTAGATGTGTGAATACTTGGGTAGCTTTACCTGGGAGGCCTTCAGCAGCTGGCTGCACAATCCCTGCTACCAGAGCTTCCTTCTTGGGAGCAAGCTGTGGCTCCACACACAGCTGTCCAACTTGGCTCTGCTCCCAGCTCTGCTGCTTTTCTAGAAGCCGCTCTAGAGTCTCTGGGCCCAAAGCCTCCTGTATGAGAAAGTGGAAGGAGGGGTGGGGAGACCTGGACAGAGTCAGGACTAACTGTTGTAGCTGATTTTCTAAAGTCCTGTCTCTGCTGAATTATCTCCCATAGATCCAGGCTTTACGTCTTCTGCCCTTCTTAGCTTGAGATTCCCCACAACCAGTTCACCAGTCCCCTCCCTCCATGCATTTACTCCCTCCCTTGTTCCTCACTCTGGGGATCAAGGAAATAGCCTCAGTAGACAAAGTGAACACTAGGCGTCCAACTTGTTCTACTTCATCCTGGCTCCATAACTCTGGTTTCCTGTGGGACAAGAAGGAGATCATGGGCTGGTGAGCTGAGGGAACTGGGAGGAAAAGAGGACACGGTAGCATCGGGAACTCAGGACTCAAAGAACCTTTAAACAAATAGGATGGACTATCGTAATGATGGTGGTTGGGGGGTGGGAGGGGCCTAGGTGTAGGGTTTAGAATCTGAAATTCCCAGAGGTCCATACCCAAGTACAGGCTCCTTCAACAGCAGCCGTCCCAGCTCTGCAGCAAATGACTCTCCTAGGCAGAAGCCCTGCAGCTGACTGAGATGGGACAGCAGGATCGGTAAGGGGATCCGTCGAGTGCTCTCTATCCCCAGGAATCCGACCAAGGGGCCCAGTGTCTCCAGCACTTCCTCAGAGATTGGGGTCTGCTTTGGAGCCTGGAGAAGGGCATTAGGCCTTGGACAATGCATCTGACTGAGATATCAGACTCTTTCCTCAAGACAACAAATTCTTGGACCTTTTCTCTCCTCTTACTCTCAATTTTTTTTTTTTTTTTTGGTCATGGGACTTGAACTCTGGGCCTGGGTGCTGTCCTTCCAGGCAAGCACTCTACCACTTGAGCTACCGCATCACTTGTGATTTTTTTGGGGGGGCGAGGGGGCGGTTTGTTGGTTTTTTTTTAGATAAGAGTCTCACGGATGTTCCTACCCAGGCTGGCTTTGAACCATGATTCTTAGATCTCAGCCTCCTGAGTAGTTAGGATTACAGGCCTGAGCCACTGACAGCTGGCTTCCTACTCTCAATTTTGAGAGTCATTGTCTTTGCCTACTTCCTTAAACAGTTAATGGATCCAGACAGGAGAAAGTAGAAAGCTTGAGCGATTTCTTGGACTTAGTGGTATGGACAAAAACATGAAACAGGAAAGCTACCTTACAGGTGTCTCACACTTGTAATCTTAGATACTTGGGAGGCTGAGATCAGGAGCCATTTCTACCAATTAAAAAAGCTGGATATATATGCAGCCATTAGAAATGACAAAATAATGGCATTTGCAGGGAAATGGATGGAGCTAGAAGGAATCATGTTGAGCGAGGTAAGCCAAGAACGAAGAGACAAACGGTACATGGTCTCCCTGATAAGTGGATGCTAAATCCAAAAGGTTAGGTGAAACGACAAAACTAACAGGACTTAAGAAACAAAGAACTCCCGCTCATCTGGTTGAACCACTACTAAATATCCCCATGCTGCTGATCACAAATATGGTATATAACATGTGAACACTGTTATATATTACAGACTGTGGTAGACAATTTGCTCCAGGGAAGTTAGAATGAACTTGTGATTTTGAAATTATGTAATCATTTAATCACAATCAAAAAAAAAAAAAAAGAACCTCGGGGAAGGGAGGGAGGGAGGGGATGGTATGGGGAAAACAATGGAGGGGGTAACAATGTTCAAGAGGAAGTGTACTCTAACCTCACTCATGTAACTGTAACCCTCTGTATAGTAGCTTTACAATAAAAAAAAAAAAAAGCTGGATATAGTGTGTGTGTGTGTGTGTGTGTGTGTGTTGTCTGATCCCAGATACATGAGAAGCATAAATAGGATGATTATAATCTAGGCCAGCCTGGGCAAAAAGCCAGATCCTACCTGAAAAGATCCTACCTGAAAAGCTACTCAATCACAAAGGGCTTGGGGGCCTGGCTCAAATGATAAAGAGTGCCTACCTAGCAAGCACAGGGCTCTGAGTTCAAACCCCAGTAATGCCAAAATAAAGTAAAATAAAATAAAACAGAACAAAGAACCATGAAGGGAGTTATCTAGGAATAGAATCCTGAGGTAGACCTAGGGGCTAGGGTCTTGTAGATGAAATCCGGTGCGTTCAGGGTGGTATGGCCATAGACAAGGTCTTGTAGATAGCAATCTATTTGACAGCAAGAACATGAGAGCTGGGCTGCTAGAAGTCAGAGAGCACTGTTTGACAGACAAGCATTGCCATTGGGCAGCAGGGTGAACTCTTACCAGATTTAGTAATGCTTTTTCTGCCAGGGCCGTCTGATGGAGTGGAGTCAGCGCCAGCAGCTGCTCTGGAGCTCCTTGTACCAACTCCACCACCAACATAATAGATTCATTGGACAATCTGTCCATCAGCTGGATCCTATTATTACAATTTGACAATAGGAGTACTCAGTTACAACTGAGCCAAGTTGAGAAGGGAGCATAGAACCCACATCCCTCAGACAAGATGTAACACCAAATGAAACTCAATGAAACTCTGTGACCTGAACAGAAACTGATATTAAACAGCTCTCAGGCAATTGCCATCATTTGCTAGGTGGATGAGAACACTAAGAATGAAATATTCTAGTGCTCCTGATGGACTTAAGAGCGCCAGACATTCAACACCATTCATTTTTTTCCTTTTTTTTTTTTTTTTTGCCAGTCCTGGGGCTTGAACTCAGGACCGGGGCACTGTTCCTGAACTTTTTTTTTTTTTTTCCTGGTCGTGGGGCCTGAGCTCTGGGCCTGGGCGCTGTCCCTCAGCTCTTCAGCTCAAGGCTAGCGCTCTACCACTTGAGCCTCAGTCCCACTTCCGGCTTTTTCTGCTTATGTGGTGCTGAGGAATCGAACCCAAGGCCTCATGCATGCAAGGCAAGCACTCTACCACTGAGCCACCTTCCCAGCCCCTCCCTGAACTTCTTTTGCTTAAGGCCTGCACTCTTACCACTTGAGCCAGAACACCACTTCTGGCTTTTTCTGTTTATGTGGTACTGAGGAATAGAACCCCAGGGCTTCATGCATGCTAGGCAAGCATTCTACCACTAAGCCACATTCCCAGCTCCCTATCCTTCTTCACAAATGAGGAACACAGATTTTCCGATTGCTGGCCCAAGATCTTTCACCTCATCCAGGCCCGTGGTTCTACATTATCTCAGATAACTAACATATTTAAGTGGATTAAAAAAACAGAAATCAAAGCCGGGCATTGGTGGCTCACCTCTGTAATCCTAGCTACTCAGGAGGCTGAGATCTGAGGATCACGGTTCAAAGCCAGCCCAGGCAGGAAAGTCCGTGAAACTCTTATCTCCAATAAACCACCAGAAAACCAGAAGTGGCACTGTGGCTCAAAGTAGTAGAGCACTAGCCTTGAGCTGATAGAGCTGAGGGACAGCACCCAGGCCCAGAGTTCAAGGACCACGACCAACAAAACAAAACAAAAAAACCCAGAAATCAGAAATGACATCCTATATTCTATATAGAATTGCAAATTCCTGGGACTGGGCCAAGTTGTACAAGAACTAAAATCTGTGGAAAGGCCTATAAAATTGTAAGAATGAAGCCATCTGCTTTTACCATCCTCACATCTCCAGTTATACTGCAACCCTAAACCTTTCCCTTCTCTGACCTGCAGTTAGCTAGTATGGAGCTGCAGGGAGGTAAAATGAGAAAAAGAAGCAGATGGAGGGAAATACTCATAAACTAGAATCTCTGAGATGGAGGAAATAGGGTTTATCTTGTTGTTTCTCTCCAGTTTATATGTGAATCTGTTGGATAACATTCTTTCCATGGGGCCATCCAGTTTGACCTGGGATAAGGCCAGTGATCACGTGCTCACTGCTTCAGGTTTTCCTTTTTTTTTTCTCTTTTGCCAGTCCTGGGGCTTGAACTCAGGGCCTGGGCACTATCCCTGAGCTTTGCTGCTCAAGGCTAATGCCCTACTATGTTAAGCCACAGCTTCACTTCTGTTTTTCTGGTGCTTAATTCGAGATAAGAGACTCATAGACTTTCCTGCCCAGACTGGTTTTGAACTGTGATCATCAGATCTCAGCTTCCTAAGTAGCTAGGATTACAGGCATGAGCTACCAAAGCCTGGCTCAAAAAATCTGATTTTTAACTCATTAATTATAGTCCTGGCCCCCATGGAACCATTAAAAAAATCCCCATATACTTTCTTCTTGATAACCTCTCAGAGATATGAAGTCATTTATCACAGTTTTCTTTTTTTTGGGGGGGGGTCCGGTCGTGGGGCCTTAACTCTGGGCCTGGGTGCTGTCCCTCAGCTCTTCAGCTCGAGGCTACCGCTCTACCACTTGAGCCACAGAGCCACTTCCGGCTTTTTTCTTTTTTGCTTATGTGGTGCTGAGGAACCGAACCCAGGGCCTCATGTGTGCAAGGCAAGCACTCTACCACTGAGCCACCTTCCCAGCCCCTAGTTTTCTTTTATTTTCTTTTAATCCATTCCTCTGAACAACTGAAAACATAGTGTCCTAAACCTCTACAGCAGAAGTGACCACTGCCTCTCTCATTTTACAAACTCTATTGCTATTAATGTGGTCTAGGTTACCTCAGGATTACTTGACAGCCACAACATTGTTGAAACCCTCAGCTGTCCCGTGCTCTGGGAGCTCCTGAATAGAATCCTCTGCATTCGGCTATGAATGTCAGGAAACCTCCAGAGACAAAACTGCTCTGCCTAAAGAGCATTCTTCTATTCCAAGCTGAGTTTTTGGAGGACCCAGAATCTCTAGCTGTGTACTTACGGTAAATCCAGGAGTAGCTTAGTGTCGAGTTCACTCAGTTCTGGCCCCAGGTTGGTCAACTCTGGCTCAGGCATTGTCATCCTTCGCTGTAGTTCTGCCCAGATACAAGCCCTCTGTGGTACAGGGTTGGAGAAGCAGGGTCAAGATGGGGACTGGGTTTATAGCCTTCTTGCTACTACTAACGCCCATGCGCCCCTCTTACCAGGCTCCCTCGGACCCCAGTGGGCAGTCGATATAGCATGTGTATCACATCAAGGAAGTCTGCCATTGAGTTGATCTGCTGCAGAAATTCACAGGACATGCCCCCTGCCAGGTTTCCCAGAGCCCTGTGGGTGTGAGTGGGTAGATGCTCTTTTTAACACATGCCACAGCTTGTGTGCTCCTTGATATCATTATCTATATTCTCAACACAAGGACAAGATGTTCATTTATGGTCATAACAGTTGAAAAATGTTTGTACATAGACAGTCTCATTGTTTATCAAAGAGGAACTAAAGATTCACAGAGGTCAGGTGATATTCTGCTACAGGTAAACTAAGACTAGAGCTGTATCCTCAGATTTTGAAACTCCTGATTCTTTTTTTTGTTTTGGTCCTGGGATCTGAACTCTGGGCCTGGGTGCTGTCCCTCAACTCTTCTGCTCAAGGATAGCGCTCTACCACTTGAGCCACAGTGCCACTTCTGGCTTTTTTTTTTTTTTTGGTCGGTCATGGGGCTTGAACTCTGGGCCTCAGTGCTGTCCCTCAGCTCTTCAGCTCAAGGCGAGCGCTCTACCACTTGAGCTACAGTACCACTTCTGGTTTTTTGGTGGTTTATTGGAGATAAGAGTCTCAGGGACTTTCCTGCCCATGCTGGCTTTGAACTGTGATCCTCAGATCTCAGCCTCCTAAGTAGCTAGGATTACAGGCATGAGCCACCAGTGAGGAATCGAACCCAGGACCTCATGCATGCCAGGCAAGCATTCTACCACTGAGCTACTTTCCCAGCCCTAAACTCCTGATTCTTTTACTATGGGTGCAGGCAAGGTGGCAGTTACTCCTCTAGTAGCTCTAAAGTCACCTTGAATTAAATTAAAAAGAGCAACTGTTTATTGAGAGTTCACACTGGGCTAGGCACTGGGTTAAATACCTCATATGCCTTATCTTATTTAATCCTCACTGTAACTACCTTTGAGGTAAGTACTGTTTTAACTCTTATTCCACAGAAGAGAAACAAATTAAGAGAGATTATATGACTTTCAGATTATATGACTCTAATCAAGATAGGTGTGGCACTGTGGAGGGTCAAGAGGGTAAGAAGAAGGTGAGCCAGGAGAATGTTGACAAGGCTGGAACTAGACATCATCCATTCCTGTATCTCCTATTGTGTATCATATGGTGCCTGGTATATGATAATCACCAAAATATGCTAGTTGACGGTTGGGGTGGTAACCGGTCAGTGGTAGAACACTTGCCTATATTTTGTAAGGCCCTGGGTTCGATCTCCAGAACTGCTAAATAAACAGATGTCCATTAAATTAGACTGACGGTTCAATGTTAAGTTACTCACTGCAGATTTCTGAGCGTCAGGTTGGTGGGTAACTGCATCTTCTTCCAGAGAAACTGTGCCTATAAGAGAAAAAAGGGCTGCTTCCTGCAGAGATATTGTCCCAAGGACCTAAAGTGCCTTGGACTTGGAAAATCCCAAATGATGCCTATCTGAGGGGGGAAGGGTAGGGAATGAAGTGTAAGGGATCCTAGTGATAAGGTAACAATTAGGCAAGGGGCAGCTCAGGGAAGCGAAAGAGATAAAGAATTCTGGAAGTAAAAAACAAACAAACAAAAAACAAGAGAATTACCTGCTGCTCAGACCAAGGCAGCCCTCGATAGCGCCTTCGATTTGCCAGCAGAGCCGCAGTATCCAGTTGTAGCAGCTTTAATGGGAGCAGGGGGAGCAGGCAGTCTGGCCAAGTAGTGGGAATGGGCTGCTGGCAGTGATGGGTATAGCCGTGTAGTGATAGGAGAGAGGGTCTGCTCTCAGCCCTCAGAGAAGGGGAGCCGTGGGGTGGGAAGGGATCAAAACTAGGATATGGGTGGGGTGGCACTGGCTACTCTACTAGTTAAACACCTGATGGACTGAAGTTCCCTAAGATCTCTGAGGCATTGGTCTTCCCATCTGAAAATGGGATGGCTGGTCTGGACCATTTCTTAGGCCTTTCCGGTTTGACATTGTAGGAAGTGTGGGGCATGCATCTAGAACTGGGGAGAAGTACTAATCCTGGGCAGAGCACAACTGACCTGAACTTTCAGGGCCAGGCCATTGCAGGGGTGGGAGGGGGGGTGCGGGGGGGGGGGGGAGTGTGTGCTTGGCAGCACCAGCCAGATTAAGCTGCCTGGAGTAGAATCCCACGCATACCTGACCAGGAATGCACACAGCTGCACCAGCACCTGTTGTACCCGTATTTTTAACACCAGTCTTCACCTGTACAAGAATTGGCAGAGTGTGTGTGTGTGTGTGTGTGTGTGTGTGTGTGTGTGTGTGTGTGTGTGTGTGTGTGTGTGTGTGTGTGTGTGTGTGTGTGTGTGTGTGTGTGTGTGTGTGTGTGTGTGTGTGTGTGTGTGTGTGTGTGTGTGTGTGTGTGTGTGTGTGTGTGTGTGTGTGTGTGTGTGTGTAAGGGAATAGGAACTTAGAAGGGAACCTCCCCTGGCCACACAAAAAAAAGCTGCCTTCCTCCCCAACCAGTGCCCATATCCCCAATGGTTGCATCTTCCCTGCTATTCTCATACCCGAAAGGTCTGCAGTAGTGCCGCGGTCTGGCAGGCTGAGAGACGTGACAGCTCAGGGACCAGGCAGGAACAGGCCCCAACTAGAACTCGTCTAGGGATGGCCTGGAGTGTCTGGGGGCTGAGGCCTGGCAGCAGAGGGTGCAAGGAGCAGAGTTCCTCCAGGGACAGCTGAAGAATAAGAAAGACAAGCGGTCTGAACACAGGAGCAAGACAATAATAATCCAATCCAGTGGATCCATGGGTAATTTTTTTTGGGGGGTAGGGTGGGGTGGCTGAAAGGAAGTAGGGCAGATCCAAGAGTCAGGGTAAGAGGGAACAGAGGCCTTCAGGGGCGTGTTGAGAAGCTGCTGCTACTTACCTCATGCCTAGGGAGGAGCCTTCCAAGCAGCAGAGCAGCCTATGATGGGATTGGACAGGAAACAACAGCTCTCAGGCCCCAGCAGCCAAGCCTCAAACAGGCCCCAGGGCCTGCCCTCCAAAACCTGCAGCTCCCTCTCAACCAACCCCACTGACCAGCCTGAACGAGGTCCTTTGTGGACTGAGGGAGGGAAATGAAGGAGACCTCAGTGGGACAGGCTTCACCTCTAGCGCTCACCCAAAGAAAAGAGGGGCTGATGGTATCCCTACATGTGATTCTCTCCACTGAGGTTCCAGGGAGTAAGCCAGGCCCACCTGGGCAGGTGTGACATTGGTTCCACGTAGGGCAGGAAGCATGGCTCTAAGCTGGGGCTCTGACAGTTCCTGCAGGAAGCGGAGGCCTAGCTGAGGGAAAAGAGGGGCCCAGACCTGCAGCTCCCGGGGGCTTAGCACAGCTCCTCCAGACGAACGCAACACCCCTAGAAGTTCATATGCCACCTGTAACCAAAGAAGTTTTGGGGACTGCTGAAGCTTGGACTTCCACTCCAAACCAAGGGCCTGGGCTAAGACTCAGAACCATGGGCAGGACCAGAGTGGATTAGGTTTAAATCACAAATGGTGTTTGGGATGTCCATAGGGAAAAACTAGGAAGAACCCAGATCTCAGAGGTGCTAAATTGGTAGGTATAATTAGACAAGTCTCCACATAGTTCCAGAGTCTTGTAGGCCTGTGCCAAGGAGCTCACCCTGCCTTCTGGGCTGAGGGTCCCGTTGGCCGCACATTCTAGCAGTCCCTGTTCGACAGGTCCCATTGGATCACTCAAGGGCACCATGCTCTGCAGTTCCTCGGGGGTCAGGAAACAGGCGAGAGATCCAAGCCTAAGGAGGAAATGAAGCTGGCCTTCATGTGATCCTTGAGGTTTATAGTCATGCAGGGACTATGGGCATTCTCTGATCCCTAAACTAGAAAATGTAACTACCATATGTAAGCCTCTCTCCTGGACCTATATTACCCTACTTGGCCTGTGCTCATGCTTTCTCTCTCTCTGCTTATATTAGTTATACAATAGGGCCTCTCTTCTACATCTCTGACTGGCCATTGTCATAGAACCCACAACCACTCACTTGCGCACTTGCTCTTCACCATCCCCAACACTCTGGTTCACCAGGCTGCGGAGCACATGTCGGGCATGACCTGGCCCAAGACCTGCTGCCGGCCAGCTATCCTCCAGGGCCTGGATCTGAAATGGGGAGAGTCAATTTGTGTTGGGATCATCGTGGGACAGGAGCCCACTAGGAGATATGTCACTGACTCCCATCCCATTTAATAAGAGAATGGGCCAGGCAAGTGAAGATAACTCGAGTACCTGGTGAGGGCTAAGCTGCAGGAAGTTCTCTAGAGGGAGGTGAGGAAGCAGGGGCAGCGCAGCCCACAGCAGCTCCTGGGGCCAGGCAGGCACTTCCCCAAACAGCTCAGGGGCTAACAGTCGCTTTGCCAATGCCTCCTTCTGTTCGGGTCTCATTCCTGAGCTGTGATCCCGGATGGCAGCTAGGCTGGGGAGAGCAACAGGTCATAACCCCTTCATCTTGTTCCAAACTGGTATCTTCCTGCCTTGGCCAGGAAGGAGACTCTTCTGGTTTAACAGATAGGATACAGATAGGATTAGCCTACTCCAGACACAAGCTTACACAGTATCATTGGCCAACAGCGATGGTGGAAAGCGCATCAGGTCAGAGACAGCCAAGAAGGGAATTAGTGGTGACAAATCAATGAAGAGCTGGGATGTGAGGCGTGGGTACCGTTGTAGCAAGAGGGCTGTCAGGCGACCCATGGCCTCTTCCTCAGATGGTGGTACCTGAGAGGTACAAAAATGGATGCTGGTTCTGGAGATGCTTGGTATCCTGGCCATCTCCTCTTTGGAGTTCTTCCTCTCACTAAGGCAAGCCCTCTAAACAACAGGTACCAGGTGCCTTCGACCTCTAGATGCCCCTCCACTCTTGCTCCCTTCTCCCTTCTTGCTCACATGCAACTGGGCCCAGGAACGATGCATGAGTGTCAGGAAGCCCTGCGCAGCCTCGGTCTCTGCAGAGAGCACCAGCTGCTGGAGGTTTTCTGGGGGCATGTGCAGGTATGCCTAAGAATAAGAGGTCATGGTGAGCATGATCTGACTATCGTACAGGGCCCTCGGGCCGTGGCTATCACTCAGCCCACCCATGTTCCCTACCACCCATTACTTGCACTAGAATCTTCAGAGCCCAAACACTCTTCTCTCTCTGGAGCAGATCCCACAGCACAGGCTGGTAGGGGAGAAAGACAAGATGCCAAGAGAGCTGTCTTCTCAGTTCTCCAATTTCCCAGGACTTTCAATTCAACTTGAGGGGCTGCCTGTCCTTCGTCTGAAGCTCATATGAGTATCTTCAGATATTAAGCCTCTTTAGGTCTGAGACCATGTCTCTGAGTTCTATTATATCCTTTCCCATGCTAGGTCTATAGACAGCTCAACAAATACTTGTAGATCTGGGCCAAATTACTATGAAAAAAATGGGGCCTAAAATGGAGTAAGGAATCTTTGTATACCCAAAAGAACCTAGCAAAGTGCCTTGAACATCAGACTCTTAGTGTATGAATTATGGAAATCAATGTATTTTAAGCTCCTTCAGTTTGCAAGGAAGAAACAAAAGCCCAGAAAAAAAAATGTGCTGGGGATGTGTTTTAGTGGTAGAGTGCTTGTCTAGCAAGCATGAAGCTGTGGGTTCAATTCCTCAGTACCACATACATAGAAAAAGCCAGAAGTGATCCTGTGGCTCAAGTGGTAGAGTGCTAACCTTCAGCCAAAGAAGTACAGAGACAATGCCCACGCCCTGAGTTCAAGCCCCAGGACTGACCAAAAAAATGGAATTACTTTCCTGCGATGGCAATAATTTACAGAATAGGGCTAGGAAGATGGCTCAGTGGTAGAGTGCTTGCTTTGAATGCATGAGGCCCTGGGTTCGATTCCTCAGCACCACATAAACAGAAAAGCTGGAAGTGGCGCTGTGGCTCAAGTGGTAGAGCGCTCACCTTGAGCTGAAGAGCTAAGGGACAGCGCCCAGGCCCAGAGTTCAGGCCCCAAACTGACCAAAAAAAAAAAAATTACAGTATAGCTGAATCTAACCAAAGTTTGATTTGTAGTTTCCCTGAATCTTCCTCATTCCTGCCTTATTTTCTTGTATTCTTACAGTACCTAATTTTTGCTTGCTAGGGAGAGAATTTAAACCCCCTAACTGGATCCCTTTTCTTTCAGAAATAAAAAAGGCAGAAAGTGGGAGAGTCACTGAGGTAGTATTTATTGCGCATTTAGGTTCTGGCCTAAGCCCACAGCATACATTATCTCATATCATCTTCACAATCACGCTGAAAGTTTGGTACCATTATTTCCCTGAGTTTACAGATGAGAAAAAATGTTTCTCAGAGGCTAAATAACTTGTCCAAGGTTGATCACAGAACTAAAATGTGAACCCAGGGTTGGGAAGGTGGCTCAGTGGTAGAGCGCTTACCTTGCATGCATGAGGCCCTGGGTTCAATTCCTCAGCAGAAAATAAAAAAAGCCGGAAGTGGCACTGTGGCTCAAGTGGTAGAGCGCTAGCCTTGAGCTGAAGAGCTGAGGGACAGCACCCAGGCCCAGAGTTCAGGCCCCATGACCAGACCCCCCAAAAAATAAAATAAAATAAAATGTGAACCCAACCTGTCGGACTCTAGATCTGTATGTTAAAAAAACAAAACAAAAAAGTACTGCCCAGTATTGGGAGACATTCCCCTTCCCTCGTCTGAGTTTCTACCCAGGCAGATCACTTACACTGAAACAGGATAGCAGCTCCATCTTGCTCATACCAGAGCCGAGGCTCGTGGGTTCGAAGCCGGGTGGGGTTGGCTGTTCCTGTTCCAGGTACTCCCCAACTGTCCGTAACACACTGCGCCGACCCTCTGGGCGGAAGGCATCCCAGAAGGAGCAGTTGTCTGGGAGACTGGAGAGCAGCAGGGCCTGACCCAGCATCCCTTGGGCCTCAGCCCCTCCAGTCCCTGGACCCAGAAGGAAAGTCAACAGGCGCAAGAGATAGTGTAGGCGTGTGGGGTGGGCAAGGGTGGGCACAGAGGACTGGCAGCGTGGTAACTGGGACAGCATGCCAAGCAGGAAGGGGCCAGGGGCCAGACAGAGTGGGGATGGTCCCAGAGGTGGCAGAGAAGGCAGAAGGGGGCTCAGCAGCCCTTCTAGAAAGCAGGTGTCATTCCCCCCACGACTTATCCTGCACTGGCCTGCTAGCCAAGGCCAGAAAGGCACCAGGGCTTCATACATGGTGTCATTGGCACAGACCATCAGTAAGAAGCCACCCCCATCTGGGCAGCGCTCCCCGCAGGGTCCAATGTGGCAGGGTGGGAAGGCAGTGGCATCTACGGTGGGACCCTGGCATACATGCTGTACCCAGGCCTGGTTGCTTGGGGGCACAGCCTGCAGACTCGCCTCTACACATAGCCGCTCAGCCCACAGAGTCTCATTCTCCAAGAAGCAGCCCCAGAAAACCTCTGGGGTGAGGGGTACAGGGACCAGGCCATCAGGACAGCTGGTGGGGGGTGGGAGCAGGCCAGCGCAGAGCCGCTTTACCAGGCGGCGGTTAGGACCAGACAGGGTCGAAAAGGAGAGGCTGCTACAGATTGCATCCAGAAACTGATCAGGAAACTGGTCGTGGCAAGCCTGTAGCCAGCTTTGGGCACCTGGTGCCCACGAGACTGCATACCACACAGCTGTCTGGCAGACGGCAGCGGTGCTTGGAGGTGGCTGTGGGGTCATAGGCCTGGTATACTGGCAGAGCAAGTGGATGGAGAAGTTGGAAATGCTGTAGGGTGGAACTGGACCTGAATGGTTCTCACAGATGGCCTCCACAGAGATGGCTCGCCGTTGGCGAGGGCTGACGTGGGCCGAGGGCTGGAAGGCCCTGGGCAGAGGCACACCTGAGCTCAGGCAGTGCAGGAGGGCAGGGGGTGGGGGTGGTGATCCAGACAGAAAGCCCAGCGCCTGGACATCCCAGGAAAGGTTGTGCCGGATGCCCCTGGGTGCAGAGGGAGGAGTAGGCACAGTCTGGTTAGTTCACATTTTCTTTGGTTGGTTGTTTGTGTCAGTCGTGGGGCTTGAACTCTGGGCCTGGGTGCTGCTCTTGTACTCCAGCTCAAGGCGAGCACTCTAAACCATTAGAGCCACAACACCTCTTCCAGTTCTCTGAGTGGTTTATTGGCGATAAGAGTCTCATGGACTTTCCTGCCCAGGCTGGCTTTGAACCACGATCCTCGATCCTCGGATCTCAGCCTCCTGAGTAGCTCAATGTGAACCACCAATGCCTGGCTCACATTTTCTTTCTTTTTTTTTTTTTTCCAGGGCTGAGGACCGAACCCAGGGCCTTGCGCACGCTGGGTGCGCGCCCTTCTGCTGAGCTAAACCCCCAGCCCCTCACATTTTCTTTTTTTTCTTTCTTTTTGCTTGAACCCTGGGCCTGGGCACTGTCCCTAAGCCTCTTTTGCACAAGGCTAGCATCCTACCACTTGAGCCAAGCACCACTTCTGGCTTTTTCTGTGAAATGTGGTACTGAAGAATCAAACCCAGGGCTTCGTGCATTATAGGCAAACACTCTAACATTAAGCCACATTCTCAGCCCGTTCACATTTTCTTCAGCTGTAGATTTTGTTGTTGTTGTTGTTATCGGTTTGGGGCCTGAACTCTGGGCCCATGCACTGTCCCTCAGCTCTTAAGCACTCTACCACTTGAGCCACAGGGCCACTTCTGGCTTTTTCTGCTTATGTGGTGCTGAGGAATCGAACCTGGGGCCTCATGCATAGCAAGGCAAGCACTCTACCACTGAGCCACCTTCCCAGCCCTTCAGCTACAGATTTTGACCCCGGCTCAGAACCTGGCCAACATAAGCGTAGGCCTTGCAAAAGTGAGGTCCCTGAGATTAAGGTGCTGCTAGTTTCAGGGATGGGGAACATCTGACCTCCATACAAGGCCCATGAGACAGTGACAGGACATGCTACGGGATAGATACTTGAGGCTTCTCACTGGCTACCCATGGACAGTCTGCCTCTACTGGTAATTTTGTATGGTGTTATGAATATCCAAGTGCCCCTTGGCAAAAAAAAAAAAAAAAGATTTCCCACCACTGAGTGGGGGTGGGGGAGGGAGGAGTAGGACGCGCTCCCAAGGCACAGAGTCAGCCTGTGTAATCCCAGCTGAAGTCCCCCGCGGCCACCTCGCCCTCTCCTCGCACTTTCTTCCTCTGGTTTTAGGTAGCTTAAACACAACCCTTGGCTCCTATCAGGAAATCTGCCCGGCAACTGAATATGTGTAACTGTGTTCTGGCACTGTTGTACTGAATTAATAAGAGGGTAGAAGAGTCTAGTCTTGTTCTTTCTTCCCATACACCCCATATTTATTAGCTTACACTAGAAGAGTAACTCTTCTAAACAGTTAACACATTAGTTGCAAACCATTTGATTCTTTACGACAGCTCTGCTAATAGGACCATTCTGGTTTTACAAGTGGGGAAACCGAGGCAGGGAAAAAGCGCATGGGATGCTCCCAAGGAGGTAAGGCTAGAGTGAAAGGGAGCTGGGACGCCAACCCAGAGAGTCACACTTGGAAACGATTAAGCCATGCTCCTCCCGCCACTGTTCTCCTTGGCTCTGAAGGCTCATGTCTTCAGCTTTCCACCTCCACATTTCCCAGGCACAACCCCGCAGAATCCTTACAACCCCTACTACTTACCACAGCAGCAGCTGCCGAAGGTTACCTAGGAGGAAAAGAAGACCGGGAAAGAGAAGGCCCAAATCCTGCCTTCTCTCCCTGCTGCCTCCCAGCCCCAGCCCTGGCAGCGCTCACCTCCCTGACACTGCCCAGTGGCATCAGGCTCTGGCTGGCCCAGAAGGGAAAAGACTTCGTCCTGGAGGGAGTGAGTGATACGAAGCAGCCCCTCCTGGAAAGCAGCATAGAGGGGGGCCCCCACTGTGCGTAGCAGACCACCCCAAAGGGCCTCATCAGAGCCCAGCTCCCCTGTTGGGGTAAGCAAGCCCAGCAGACCCTGCAGCAAATGGGGGCCTGTCTCCCTTCCATCGAGACCTGTGGCATTGATGAGGTCCACACCGGGCTGCACCTGCACCAGGGCCTGCCAGCGTGTGCCCTCTAACAGCAGCAGCAGAGAAGGCAACCAGTCAGCAGCGAGAACACAGTCCGAGGGCCCATCGCGGGTGCACGGGGGCCGTGTAGGGGCAGGAGGCCCCCCAGGCACTAAGGCTCCCAGCAGCACCTCCACCAGTCCACCTAGCACAGCTGCCTGGTGCACCAAGAAGTCCCGGGGAGTTTGCTCCTGGCCCAGCAGTGCCAGCACATCCCCCAGTAGCCCTAGCATTGGCTCCCAGTCTGGGCTGCCTCTTAGTGTCACTAGAAAATCATGGAGGCGGAGGGCAGGGGGCTGGAGAGGTGGGGGCTCTCCCACTGGTCCCTCCCCCGTCCTCCCACGCTCAAAGGAAGATGAAATGTTGGCCAAGAAGGCAGAGAACCGAGAGCGGCTGAGAGAACCCTGAGGAGACTGGTCCAGAGAAGAGAGGAATGACTTCAGGAGGGAGAGACCATGATCCAGGGACTGAGGCCCAGGAGGGGCTAGAGTCACTGTAAAGAGAGAAGCCGGAGGTCACAAAAAGGGAGGAACCTAGAAGCCCCTGAGCACATTTCCCTGCCTGGATCTGAGGAGGAAGTCAGGGCATGGACGGTGAGTTCAGCCCCTTTCATCAGGAGCAGTAAGTCTTGGCCTGCTTTCTTCATCCTCATTGTCACCCAGAGTATCATCCCTGCCCCTCTCTTCCTTATCCCTTTAGCTTTTATCTAACTGGCTAACTTCTACTTTATTAGTATACTTTGAGACAAGGTCTCACTACGTAGCCCAGGGTGATTGCAAACTTGCAATCTTCCTGCTTTCGCCTCCCAAGTACTGGGATGGCAGGTGTGCACTGGCACATCTGGCTAACCTCCACATTCTTAAGTCTCTTTCAATCAAACCCCTCCCCCGCCCACCCACCCTTCTCCCCAGCCTTGCTCACTGTTCTTACCTCCACAGGTCAGCAGCAGCAAAAGCAGCATGGGCCAGAAGCTCAGAGCCATGTTTCCAGGTGCGTACTGGTTCTGGAGGTGAGCTTGGTTATTCTCACTCACTATGTGTGGCTAACCAGAGGAGGGCAGGGCAGTGCAGGCAGCCCGAGGCTCCACTGACACTGTGGTGCGGTCTTTCAGGAAACAATATCTGTAACCTGACAGCAGGTTTGTCACCTGAGCCACTGAATACCTGATCCTTTGGCTCTGGAAATTTGGTGTTTTTCTGTAAGGGGGACTAACGATAGGGATCCCAGGGGGCCTCAGAGGAACTCAAGGAGCGAGATGGGTTAGAAGCCAGGCACGAAAGAAAAGTAGGCAGACACAGAGTTGGAGAACTGAAGACCTGAGGCATAATTTGGGGGTCGGCAGAAAACTGTACACAAGGAAACACACAGCAGCAGGCTTGTGGATGTAACTCAGTGGTGGAGAGCTTGCCTAGCATGCATAAGGACAGGGGTTTGAACCCAAGCACCACAAAAATTAATTAGCTAATTAATTAACTAGAAAATAAAAAGGTAAAGCTGGGTGCCAGGGGCTCACACCTGTAATCCTAGCTACTCAGGAGGCTGAGATCTGAGGAGCATGGTTCAAAGCCAGCCCAGGCAGGAAAGTCCATGAGACTCTTTTTTTTTTTTTTTTTGGTTAGTCATGGAGCTTGAACTCTGGGCCCAGGCACTGTCTCTGAGCTCTTCAGCTCAAGGCTAGTGCTCTACCACTTGAGCCACAGTGCCCACTTCTGGCTTTTTCTGTTTATGTGGTGCTGATGAATCGAACCCAGGGCCTCATGCTTGCAAGGCAAGCGCTCAACCATTGAGCCACCTTCCCAGCCCTGTGAGATTCTTTTTTTTTTTTTTAAACAGGAAATATTTAATTTTCCAATCTCCACTTTCCATTTTTTTAACTGAAAAAATTTAATATATTACAAAATATCTATACATAGACAAGGTACCCCTGATGGGGGAGGGGAAAAAACAAGAGAAAGGAAAACAGTGTCAGAAACCTAGGGAGAATGAGGGGGCAACTGACACTTTTTGATGCAGCATTGCTTTCTCTCCAAACCTGCCCGTGAGACTCTCATCTCCAATTAACTACCAGAGAACGGGAAGTGGCGCTGTGGCTTAAGTGGTAGAGTGCTCCCCTTGAGCTGAAGAGCTCAGAGACAGCGCCCAGACCCAGAGTTCAAGCTCCAGGACCAGCAAAAAAAATTAAAAAATTAAGAGCTGGCAACATGTCATGTAAATGCCTGTAATTCCAGCCACTCAGCAGGTAGAGGAGATACAGGAAGACTACAATCTGAGGCCAACCCCAGGCAAAAACAAGACCCTACTTGATAAGAAAGAACAACTAAAACAAAAAGGGATGAGGTTGTAGCTCAAGTTATACCAAGTGTGAGTTCAAACCCCAATACTACTATGAAAGAAAATGCAGCTGGGCGCTGGTAGCTCAGGCCTATAATCCTAGCTACTCAGGAGACTAAGATCTGAGGATCATAGTTCAAAGTCAGCCAGGGCAGGAAAGTCTCTGAGACTCTTACCTCCAATTAACCACCAGAAAACTGGAAGTAGAGTTGTGGTTCAAAGTGATAGAGTGCTATTCTTGAGCAAAAGAGCTCAGGGACAGTGCCCCAGCTCTGAGTTCAAGCCTCACGACCATATATATAATATGTTAACCTATATTACATATTGTATCATATTTGTATATTTTAGTTCACTTTTCCAAATATATATCATATTTCTTTTTTTTTTGGGGTCCGGTCATGGGGCCTGAACTCTGGGCCTGGGCGCTGTCCTTCAGCTCTTCAGCTCAAGGCTAGCGCTCTACCAGTTGAGCCACAGCACCACTTCCGGCTTTTCTTTTTGCTTATGTGGTGCTGAGGAATCGAGCCCAGGGCCTCATGCATGCAAGGCAAGCGCTCTACCACTGAGCTACCTTCCCAGCCCCATATCATATTTCTTATGATAGGGAAACATTTTCTTTTAGCTTACATTATCTATACAAATGGGGATTTTGTTGTTACATTTCCACAGTATGTTCCAACCAATCACATCCCCACTTAGCATTCTCCATGTCTCCTTTCTCCCCTTTCGATAGGGAGACCTCTAATACCATTTTATGCAGATTTAATTTTCTTATGCTGGTCCTGGGGGTCGAACTCAGGGCCTGGGCACTGTCCCTGAACTTGTCCAAGGCTAACACTCTACCATTTCAACCATAGCTCTAGTTTTGGCTTTTTGGTAGTTAATTGGAAATAAAGAGTCTTATCCACTTTCCTGCCCAGGCTGGCTCTGAACCATGATCCTCAGAACTCAGCCTCCTGAGTAGCTAGGATTACCAGCATGAGCCTCCAAAGCCGGGCTTGATTTTTTGTGTGTTTAAACTCAGGGCCTGGGCACTGTCCCTGAGCTTCTTTTGCTCAAGGCTAGCACTCTATCATTTGAATCAAGCTCCAATTCCTGCAGTGTTTTGGAGGTAAGATTTTGACAAACTGTCTTGCCCAGGCTGGCTTCAAATTGTGATCCTCATCTCGCACCTTCCTGAGTAGCTGGGATTACAGGCACGAGCCATTAGCACCAGTTCAGCTTGTTTTTGTTTTTGTTTTGTAAGCCAGTCCTGAGGCTTGAACTCAGGTCCTGGGCACTGTTCCTAAGCTTCTTTTGCTCAAGGATAGTACTCTACCACGTGAGCCACAGCACCACTTCCGGTGAACACAGGGATTTCGTGCATGCTAGGCAATCATTCTACTGCCTAACCACATTCCCAGCCCCAGCTTGATTTTCATTTACATTTTTTTCTCTATTCCTCATATTATGAAGAATGACCGTTTTCCTTGATATGTAATGTTGCCTCTTGAATTTTAGATAATCTTTATATGCTTCATTTTAGATCTAAATCACATAATAAAAACTCACCATTTCAAAACATAATTCAGTGTACTTTAATATATTCGTTATATTGTACAACTATCATTATTAATTCTAGAACATTTTTTTTTTTTTTGGTCGGTCATGGGGCTTGAACTCTGGGCTTGGGAGCTGTCCCTGCGCTCTTCAGCTCAAGACGAACGCTCTACCGCTTGAGCCACAGCACCACTTCCATTTTTCTAGTGGTTTATTGGAGATAAGAGTCACACAGACTTTCCTGCCCGGGCTGGCTTTGAACCGTGATCCTCAGATCTCAGCCTCCTCAGATCCTCAGATCTCAGATCTTAGGATTACAGGCGTGAGCCACCAGCACCTGGGAATTCTAGAACATTTTTTTTTTTTTTTTGGTCCTGTTGTGGGGCCTGAACTCTGGTCCTGGGATCGAACCCAGGGCCTCAGACATGCAAGGCAAGTGCTCTACCACTGAGCCACCTTCCCAGCCCCCAATTCTAGAACATTTTTATCACCTCAAGAAACCCCAAAATAATGGGCTGGGAAGGTGGTTCAGTGGTAGAACGCTTGCCTTGCATGCATGAGGCCCTGGGTTTGATTCCTTAGCACCACATAAGCAGAAAGAAAAAAAGCCGGAAGTGGTGCTGTGACTCAAGTGGTAGAGCACTAGCCTTGAGCTGAAGAGCTAAGGGACAGCGCCCAGGCCCAGAGTTCAGGCCCCACTACCAGACCCTCCCCCCAAAAAAAGAAACCTCAAAATAAGAAAAAAATAAACAACATGTATAATAAGTTACTTTATGGTTTAAGTGGTTTTTAAGTTTAATTTTTCTCAACTCTGATTCTTTAACCTGCATTAGAATCTTAGAATTTTCTTTTTGTATGCTAGTCCTGGGGTTTTAATTCAGGACCTGGGCACTGTCCCTGAACTTCTTTTGCTCAAGGCTAATGCTCTACCAGTTGAGCCACAGCCTCACTTTTGGTTTTTTGGGGTGTTAATTAGAGATGGGACTTTCATGCCCAGGTTGGCTTAGAACTGTGATCCTCATATCTCAGCCTCCTGAGTAGCTAGGATTACAGGCATGAGCCACTGGCTCGGTCAGATTCTTAGCTTTGCTTCTTACATGGTATGCGCCCTTGGGAAAGTTACTTAATTAATATTTTTAAGTCTCGATTTTCTGATAATTAAAAAGGTAAATTTATGGAATATATAATTCTTTATGTACACATTATATTTATGGTATGTGTACATGCGTGCTACATATAAAATATTTTTGTACATATCAAGCATTCAAAAAGTAATGAGAGAGACAGGAACAGTGGCTCACATCTGAAATCCAGATTACTCAGGAAGAAAAGATCAGGAGGATTGCCAGGTGCTGGTGACTCAGGCCTGTAATCCTAGCTGAGGAGGAGGCTGAAATCTGAGGATCACAGTTCAAAGCCAGCCCAGGCAGAAAAGTCTGAGACTCTCATCTCCAATAAACCACTAGAAAAAAAACTGGAAGTGGTGCTGTGGCTCAAGCGGCAGAGCACTCACCTTGAAATAGCGCCCAAGCCCAGACAGTGCCCAAGCCCAGAGTTCAAGCCCCATGACTGACAAAAAAAAAAGATCAGGAGGATTGTTGCTCTGGGCCAGCCCAGGCCCTTCCAAAAAAAAGTTTGCAAGACTCTGTCTCAACCAATAAAAACAGTGTCATAGTGGTATAAGCCTGCTATCCAAGCTATGGTGGGAAGCATAAATAGGAGAATCAAGGTCCAGGTTAGCCCAGGTCAAAAAGGAAGACTGTATCTCAAAAAAAAAACTAGCACAAGTAGCCTGTGGCTTAAATGGTAGAGCATCAGCTGTGATTGAAAAATAACCAGTACAAGATGGGCTGGTGGTTCACAGCTGTAATCCTGTGTACTTAAGAGGCTGAACACAAGAAGATGGCAGTTAAAGGAATCAAGCCCAGGTAGAAGAGTTTTCAAGGCTCCTTTCTCAACCAACAGCTGGGTACTGTGGTGCACACCTGTCATTCCAGATATGTAGAAGGCTGGAATCAAAGGGCTCACGGTCTAGACTCACTTGAGGAAAAAAGTATGTAAGACTCCAGTGCCGGGTTTAGTCATTCCTCAGTATCACATAAACAGAAAGAGCCTGCAGTGGCACTATGGCCAA